GGGGGGGGGGGGGGATTTAACATATTAAAAAAACAAAAGTATTAGCCTCTGGCAGAGAGGGAGAGGAGTAAGATGTTAAGCTCTTGTGCGGTAATTTGTTCAGTTAACTTCTAGGAGATTTGGGAGATACAATATAGATTCTTCTTTGACGAAAAATCACATGAAAAAGGGAATAAAAATGGAAGCTAAGTACAGTAGCACAAATTTGCTGCTGACTTAGATTCCACATACCAATTCATTAAATGCTAAGAGTGGTGACAAGTTCACCGAGGCATTACTAGTCAGAAGAAATGTGAAACAAAAAAAAAGGAGTTAATTAATTATGCATTTCTACGGCAAAATATACGATATATTAATTTTCTCCTACACATCCGAACGAATTGATCCCTGAGGGAAAACAAGGAAAATATCATTTAGCCAGTCTGCCAAAAGATATAAAAGAGGTGACATCCTACAAACACCAGTTCCCTCTACTTATTCCAGCAGTGGCAAAATTTCTTAAATTCTTTTTTGATAAGACACTTATTTTTCTTTGTCCCTCAATTTGTTCATTCGTGGTTTCGCTTTCGCATAGCATCCAAAATCACATATCTAGACACAAAAGTTACAACCCCGTCTAGCAAATATTCGTTCCAAATCTGCAGAACAATGGTTATGGGGATTATAGAAAAGGGGGAGTACCATTACAGAAATAATCAGATTCAATATGGTGCCCATGGACACGTCTGCCTGGTCGGTTGGAGGACGTATCCCCGCACAATTTTAGATATATTTCGGCTATGCACATTTGAGAAAGGACCAAAACCGGTGCAGCTATTTCGGAATTAAATAAATGCATACATTGTAAGAAAAAATGAAGTGTCAAAGATCTTGGTACAAAGGGGGGAAACCAAAGATCCTTACTGAGGCAGAAAGCACATTATAGACATAAAATTTTCCCAACTTCAAAATTTGGGGATTGACTGAGAAGAAAAAAAGAAGATGCCCCCCAACCATTGGGAAGGCGGATGAGGAGGCTGAACTGTGAAATAAATATTGTACTTAAGAATGTGGCAGTGAATTAAGACATAGTATACTCTACCTTGCTTTAAGATGCAAGCAAATTGTGTGTCCAAGTCAGCTGATCGAAACATGTTATTCAACAAAGTTGTGCAAGGCAGAGCCAAAGTTGACACTCGGATTCTTCTTTGGCCATCGATAGTAGTGTAAAGAACGGCAGACTAGAAACACAGAAACAAGCTCTAGTAAATGGCCATCAAATTGCACCACGAAAGAAAAAGGAATAAATGAGGGAGCAGGGGTAAGGAAAAATAGACATACAGAAACAATGCAAACAGCATAGACCAAAAACTCATTGCTGAAGATGCAAACAAATTTGTACCTGAAAAGAACATTCTGAACCATCCTGCAATTTGTCATCATGTTTCAATGTCACCATAATTGTTTTGTCACAGTCAATCTGCACAATGGAAAGCTCCTTTAGAAATGAATACACTCAATTCAGGAGTCAGTCACACTAGCACATTCAACAGGAAATCAACAGTGTAGATATGCACACAAAAAAGGGGAATTGACAGGCAAGCTTAATTATTCAGAGCAAATAAGCAGCAGAAGTGACCGTAGAAGTTTGTATTTATCAACTAAAACCTAATAAAGATAATCTGAAAAAGATGGTGTTACAGCTTCGTCGGTTGTGTCATCTCCACCCCCAGACTCGACAAAAGAACAGGACAAAACTCTGTATGGTGGAGAAGTAAACATCGTTCGAAATCCACTGAGAAAATCCGGCAGGGAATCGATAGAGAATCAGACAAAATAAAAATATTGACGCTGCACCTTTGCCTCATAGTAAACTATCAACTATAGCCAAACATAATATGGGGATGCTTGGTATTCCCCAAGAAATCTGCTACAGATGCTTTGAACTTAATACAGAAGCGCACAGTTAATCTATTAAATTTTAAGTTGTTGTGCTTGTGCTTTTTGCTTGGGAAGTGCATAATCTTCTTTTAAGGGGGGAGGGAGTAGAGAGATAGAGAGACAAACCGCAGGTAGATCAACATCTGTTGGAATTCTTTTACAGTAATTTCCAGAGTACTCCTGAACTTGAATTCCCTGCAAATGAAACACGGTCGACGTGAATTTTACACTTAAGTTCCATAAATGCGGTATGTTGCTGCTAGTTCTATGAAAGAAGCACAGGAAGACACAAAAACTGGGAAGCATACCTGACTACATCTTACACGCATTACTGCCTCAAACCCTTGGGGCCTAGTGATATTCCATCGAAGATCATTGTATAGCTTGGCAGAATCAGCAAGAGCAGAAAAAGGGAAATAGTAGTACACCTGACACAAGTGAAATAGCCTTAAAGCTCAAACCTAGATATAAAAGATATCAAAAGGAACATGAAGTGAAGTGGCTATCATATATCATAAGTTGCATAATAAGAATGTTAATAAATTCCATTAACAGTAAGTGCATCATAACCAAGGGCCTCGGGGAGAAGACGAGCTAAAATAGTAACAGCTTCACAGTTACCTGCCCACCGGTAGTTTTAGGGATGACCGAGATAGAGGCAATATCTACATATGATTGAGTTGTGAGAAACACGTCAACACAGACCTGAAGAAGTTGATATGTAATTAATTGATGTGAACGGTCATAATATGAAAAGACTTCTTAACATTCTAGTTGTGCTTAATGAATCATTCTTCCACAGGCTTTTTATGTAACTCACCTGATACTCGGCAAACTCAATAGCCATTGTCTTCAAAGTTTTATCAGCCGGCTGAAGCAACTTGTGAGCCTCCTGCAATAGGAAAATATTCAACTCTTCTGAATAAGCAACACCATGGTTTCTTTTTTGGGGGGATAAGCTAGAAAAGTTTTGTTCATTGCCACATTGGTGCTGGATATGTACATTACAAAAACTCGGATCCACGTTACTCCTGGAGACATGTGATGAAATTTATCGCTTGTCCAAGTCATATAAATGTACCATTTTTTTTTTTTTGATTTGCACCGGGTGTCCGAGTCTCTAAGAGCCCCGACTAATCCCGGCGGTGCACAGGCCCTCGGCAAGGAGTTTCCCGCAAGTGCACCACGGTTAATTCAGGTTTTACCCAGTTTGATGGCCCTCAGAAATTGTTTGCACCCAGTGGGTTTCGAACTTGAGACCTTGAAAGGGAGCAAACCCCAGGGCTCAAGTCAATTGCCACCATGCCAACCCCTGAGGGTTAAAATTGACCTGAAGAAGGAGTTAGAGCCCACAGAAGAGCAAGCGCAGGTGGTGGTATGCTATCCCAGCATGCATATGGCGGACTGAATGGACTAAAAGAAATAGAAGATGTTTTGAAGACTCTGCTAACTCTATCATGAATAAAATTTAATTGTATCATTTTGTTCTGCTCATGGTGTAGATTGGACATGTAGACGAGGTTGATCAGTGTTACAAATTTTAGAAGCCCAACAGGATTAGAAAGGACATATTTTGGTTGTTTTGCTTCTGAAAATATTGTACAGTTGTAACAACACACCCTTTGTGCTAGTTTATCCATTAAATTACTTTACCTTCTCACAATAAAAAGGCATCAAGTGCTGGAAAGCACTTCTCAAGTGTCTGGGCTGAATTTATGAATACGTAGTTCGTATTTGGATAGAAGTGCTGAAACCAAAAATAGATAGTTGATGTGATTGGTAAAAAGGTGCTCACTTTTTCTGTTAAAAAAAATTGAAATACCTTTTTTTATCAAAGTAATAAATTATATTAATATCTATTGGAAACAACCTCTCTACCTTCACTAGGTAGCGGTAAGGCCTGCGTACACACTACCCTCCCTAGGCCCAACCTGTGGGAATATACTGGGTTTATTGTTGTTGTAATAAATTATACTCCTATTAATGCTTGGGCAAAAAAGCAGGCCCGTATAGGAGAAGTAAATCAAAAAGTAGAAAACCTAAAAAAAATAGATGATTTTCTATGAACGACAACCAATCTTCTACACAAAAGGGAACCTTATGGGTGCACCAAAAAGAAAGAAGGGATAAAATACTACTCCCCAACTGAATTAAGTTTAATTTATACACCCTCAAAAGCTCTCCTATTTCTTTCCCTCTAAAAGACCCACACAAGTGCTAGTGACACAAGCTTTCACGCCCTGTGTCTTCTCCTTCTACCATAACTCTGACTGAACATTTCCTCTTTCACAGTGTCTGGCATCACCTCAAGTAGACATTTTTCATGTCAATATAGTGAAATGCCTATTTAATTTTCCTATTGTCCCTTTTATAAAAGTTGACAATTAAAACACAACAGCTCTCACACTTATGCATGTTAAGACTGGAAGTTTCTATGTATTCAACACTGGATATGGACAATTTTATGGCAGAGCCAACATGACAAATATGTACAATGTTTTGGGACATTCAACTATGATATAAAGGCAAAAACTAGGGGATAGTGGATACACAACAATCTAAAAGAGAGACACCAGTGGTGGAGTAGCAAGAAGCCTTTAGCAATCAAGAAAAGGCAGAACAAGAAAACAAGTGAAAAAAGCTCCTGCTAAAGGACAGATATATGCTGAACTAAAAACTGGTTCAACAAATTTACCTTTTCTGCAGCTGATACATTGGTTCTTCCTTCAGCTTCTCTAGCAGAAAGGGCTCCAATACCAGTAGATGGCAGGACTATAAAAATAGCAAGTACATCCAACACTTAGAAATGTATAACAATTTGTGTGGTCAAAGGTGCCCACTCATGCAACAGATCATTTCCATGAAATATAACATCATAGGACTAATGAACTAGTGGATGCACCAGGTGAAGGAGAAAAAAGGAATTATAAGGCAATTGCCTAAAGCATGCTTCTATTTTACAAAGTATTCAGTCCAAATTTGATGAGAGTTTCAAAACCATGAATTTACTGAAAATACAATCCAAACATAGCTATCCTAGTAGTACTTCAATACTAAAAGCACCAGACAGTGCCACAGAAAGCAATCCTTCTATGGATCATCCTATTTAAGCAGATTGCATTGGACACCGAAGTTAAGCATAAATTAATAAAAGCAAAACAGTCAATCAGCAATGCACTGCAAACAAAAGAGGGGGAAATCAGAGCTAAAACATTTTTAACACAAGCACGCGGAGAAAAAAAAATATAGTTTTGATTTTAGAGACAAAAGGTTGTACATGATACTTATAGTTCACTGCGCTTAACACCTACCTGATTGAAACACAAGAAGTTTGCCTCCAGTGCTTTTCATTGCCAAGAAAGCAGCCTGAAGTAACAAAACGCATAGTAAGAATCAATTGACCATCAGATTGATGGTTATACTTGCAATCATTCATCGGCATGCAGCAACACAATAATAAAATTTTTCCAATCTCTTTCTCAGAATGGAAAAGTCTCACGTAACCGTGGTGAGCTAACTAGTCACATTTTAGAAGGAATGCAGAAAATACTTTTTCCATCTATGGATCAATGAGGCAATATAAAACAAGTGGATTTGTGATCAAATACAACTAGGGTAACTAACTTCATGTAAAGCATTGGTACCTTGACTGCAGCCCCAAAAGCTGAATCAGCAGTCCTGTTATTCTGGAACATTGTTGGGATGCTTTCTAGGAGAAGCTCTAGGTGCTGACGGCACTGAAAACACAACCAAGCAACCACATTCACATGATGCACTGAAATTCTTAGTCGTTTCGCTTTAAATAAGAGGAAAATGAACAGAAAGTTGGTCATCATCATGCAGAACTAACCTCTGAGAGCTGCACAATAACATCGGTTTGAAGGGGGGTGTAAACATCTTGGACATCAGGGACTATAAGCATCAATGGCTGCAAAGGTAGATCCAGAATCAACTTATCAGAAAACAGGCACTTCACCAACATAAACCATTTTCCACAACCCAAATTCCATTTTAGACAAAAGAACAACGAACAAATCATATTGGAGAGCAATGGCACAAGTGAAATAGAATCCAAATATACCAGGAAGAATAAAGAGAGAACTGCATAATCAAGCGCAATAGAGCAATTAGGCAGTAAAGGAGACGAGCAGCTAATTAAGGCAGAGAAGTCTAGATGGGCAATAAAGTAACTCTTTTGTGAAGGCTAATATTTTTTCCTACCACCCTATGAATTAATCGCAGACAAGACAAGAAAAATGAATAAGGACAAGTTTACTTTGTTTTAGTAAGTGCTGCTAACTCCCTCTCCCCAGATGCCTTGGTTAAAGGTTTGTTTATTTTTATTCACTTATAGAAATTCTGTTAGATGATATGAAAACACACAGTTTTTTATAGAAATTCTTTCAGAAATGCATTACGTTAATCATCTGGGCAACACCTTCCTGAAATCCAACAAGAACCATTTTACTAGTTTTGCACTCTTCCCCTTAAAAGTAATTGTCAATTCATCATTACCACACAAAGAGAAAAAGGCAAGGATAACTGATTAAGATTCAACACTGATTTCAAAGCTCCTTTTAATTTCAGATGTTAAAGCTTAATTTAGCATAATCAAACTCATTTGAATGCGTCAAACCTGCTGTAATGCACGCTTGAGATTGTAAAAGTGGATAGTTGAGTCAAATGTAGCAACTCCAACCAATGTTCGAGGACCTTCCTGCAATAAAAGTTGTCAATGTCAAAGACAGCTCATAAACTTTCCAAGAATTAAAATCGAATCCAAAAGTGCAGCTTAGCTGGATAATATCACAAATAGTATTTATTCCTTGATCCATGCAGTGAACGTGAAATTCTAACCACTTGCTGACCCCATCTTTCCCAAGTCCCAGTAGATTAAAGGTAGCTGTCTTTACCACATCACCGCTGGTTCATTCAGCTAGTAAAAATGACACCAGATGCCGAGAAAAGAGCCCCCCAATCGAACACATTTAAGGGTTCAACTATATCCTTTCGGCCCGTCATAATTTCTTCATCTTACAGGCAATATTTTGCCTACCCCCCCCCCCCAAAAAAAACAACAACAACAACAGCCACTCAACCATAACGCTCTCTTGGATAAACCAAGGTTACCGGGCAGCATTTGCGCAACACCGCAGTATTCAGATGGAGACAAACTGGGTTCTCCATAAATCATACACATCAATAACATTTTTCGTCATCTCAAACAGACAAATTAAACGGGTACTTGCTTCAGCTAGCTTCACTACATCAGAAGTTCTAATTAACCTCACTGATTTAGTACAAAACAGTGGCAGATTTATGATGATTCCATTTGAGAAGACAAAACAAATACTTTTCTATTTCTGTAATCTAAAAGTACAAAAACTGCATGCTGCATCCCCAAAAACGACTTACAGGGAGATCAGTAATAACTTGGCTGATCGCACTGCAAGCAGCTGCAGTTGCACCGGTCTGAATGGCATTCATGGAAACGTCTATTAGGAAGAAATATACAGCCGGCATGGGATCTCGCACCTGAAATACAAGACAAAATTCCAAGTTATTACTGCAAAATTCATGAAGTTAAAATTTGAATTAAGGAACTGTCAATAAATGTCTCTGTCAAAGTATTGGTTTAATTTTCCAAATGCAAGATCCTACTCGTCCACACTACTAACACCCTCAACCTATTGACTCTGCTGTCAACAGATCACACAGTATTCTCGGAGCAATAATTTGACAAGTCTTCCAGAGTTCAACATTTCACATCTCCCATTCATTGCTTACTCCCCTTCTCCTCCTCCCCACATTCCTCTCTAGCTTTCTCTCTGTATGTAGTATTTTTATACTGCTTAAGGATTTCAATGCTGAAAAAGATTTTGTAACGAATAATATACAGCACAACTGTTTTCTCCTCAAGTCTAAGCTAGACACCAAAAGAATGCTCATCAGCAGAATATTTTCTTCTCCTTTTTCCCTTTTTTTTTTTAATAAGTTAAATCAGCAACATAATAGCAGACAGATAGCAACAACCTGGTGCTAAAGAGGTAACACAAGAGCCGACATTTGGAATAGATAGAAAAGGGTGCTGTGAACTGCAAGATTCCAGAATTACAATCCACTATGCCTCAATCTCAAATTAGTGTTTTCTTTATTATTTATTACTCCCTCAATAAGCTAAATGTGTCATCTAAATTGACACAGAGGGGTAAATTTTTTATAACAACCTCATTTTCAAATTAGTTGATATTGCAATAAGAATCCTATGTATTCATTCCACTCTATTCTGGTCCATTCTCTAGCTTCCCCGAACATTAAAACAAGTTTAAATAGTAAATTTGAAAGCTCAAAGATGCTTAAACTGAAAGTTCAGCGCCAGGAATGCCAACTTAGTATGACATTACTTCTATAAAGTCATGTAATCACACCCCAAACAAATGTTCTAAAAGGTACCAACCATATATTCCTTGGTAGCGACAAACTCAACAGTTCCTCGGCATAGTTCGGGCCTTTCATCAGCATCTCTACGCCTGCCATCTGGACCCAAGTTGCAGTGATAGTCACGTGGAGTTTCATCGGTATGCCCTGCAAAATGAAGCCAACAAACATAACTACATTACAGCACAATTTCATTCAAAATGCAGCATTAGGAAATTGAAAATGGTTCTACATTTCAAGTTGTGCATTCGATTTATTCACTGAAGCTGATGGCATAGGAGTTTAATCCATTTTCCTTTTAGGGTCAGTTGTTTTGGAAATATGCAATCTGTGAATAGCATGGACACTGGCCAATTGGTCTTCAACAAGGAGATTGAACGTTTTCTACTATATCACAATCATGCACATCCACTAGGAAGGGTGATTCAGGAAATACAAGCTATACCATAGAAAATGGCAGAGGTCTTGCTGTCAAAGCAGGACCAGATCACTAAAAATAGGATGGCCAATGTTGAAGCCAGCTTGTGCACACATTGTCTACGTGAATCCCCAACATGAAAGAGAGAGAGAGAGAGTCAGAGATTATTTCATTTTACTGTCCCACATCATAACATTAGTCCACTTATGAAGTTGTTCTATGGCCGGCTTAATGTATGGACTTAGTCAACCTATAGGATCGTCTTAATATATATCAATGTTACTTTCGAACAGCAGTTATATCTCAAGTTGGTCCAGAAAAGACTATGTTAAAAGATAACTTTTTCTTCATTGTTTCTTATCAAATGCAAGGTGTATGTTGGATTTCAATCTTGAGTCCCTAAATAATATCTAGAGCCGGGCTCTAAACTCCAAACATCACATTACAGTAAGTTAGTGGGAATAAATAAATTTCATTCTTACCACACAAGTTACAGATGAAACGTCTTCCTTGATCAATAAACTTCACGAAAGGATTTATATAGCCTTTGCAACGAGAGCACCGAACAGGACCACTTTCCCCAAAATCAACCACCTATCAAGGAAGCAACAAGAAGGTAAAAGAACTAACAAATGAATTCATTCTGCCTTCAGTAAGCTACAGAAATCAATTTACATTATTAAAGTGCTCCTACATGCTCAGAAAATGGAGTAAGCAGAGATGATAACAGATATATAGCAGGCATAAACCTAGAACTTCTGATGATTAATAGAAACAATTTCCACTCTGGGGATCACAATTCATCCCTTTTGGCCACCAATAAGAAAAAGGAAAACCACACCCGGACGCCAAGAGTCACTACAGTCAACTGTGCATCTTAGCATACATCATCAGCCACGTAGGTCCAAACCATCTCAGAATTTCCCACCACACAACAATATGCTTTCCAGCAATGTAAGAGGAGGTGATTCACATCTTCTTCTGAGTACTCTTCCTCTTCCTCCAATTCTCGGCGGTCAAGGTTACCCCTTGGCAAGTTAGCCAAGTGAAAACACACCTTCCTCAACACCCTTGGGATCCATATTGAGATATGTCGAAAAAGCTGACTACTCCCTAATCAGAAGCTTTTCATAATAGTATTTAACAGAAAGTACGATGTTGTCCCCAGCCCCCCATCACCATACATCATGTCTATCTAGTACAGTTCTTTGTTTGTGAAGCAATTCAACCAAACTTCGATATTCTGCAAACTCACAAGTTGCTCCTAAACCTCAAACCGCATTGCATAAAGCATTATGAGAGAACTAGGAAAGAAACTGCTGCTAGACGTTTAAAGCTCAAATAAGATAGTGATTTTTACAAACGAGAGAATACATTTTAGTTTAGTTACCGATCTTTGTATTTTTTTTTCTCTTTGATAACCGAGAAATTCCCGAGGGGCATGGTGCATGGTTCGAATCAGTGGATAATGGGCCTGCCCCTCTACCCTTCTCCACTAAATACTAGGCAAAAGCTTGTGGCAATGTTCAAGCATGTGACCTTTGCCTAACCCACACATCACATGTTGTACTCTTATCGCTAGAACAAAGCCCTGAGGCCAATTTTGTACTCATTTCTCTTTATGTAAAAGAAACGACAAAGTTTTAAACAGCAGTGGTTTCACTTTGTTTTTCCCCTTTTATTAAGGTATTCATTTTAATTTTTATTTATTGGATGGAGGATAACTAAAAGAATATCCCTTCATCACATAAAGTATGTTCATATACAGAACATCCTCAATATATTTGTCAACCTAGGTACACAAGCAAAAGCCAGAGAGATGCAACTAATTATCCAAAAACCAGTATCATCCCTAAGTTTTCACTACCATCTCCTAAAAGCACAGATAAGAATAACAAACATTTATTAGCTCATTCCATTTCCTGAACTACTACCTCCCCAGCACTTGATCACTGTTAGATCTCTAGATATCTCGGTTTATCTAGTGCCAGTAAAGTTTCAAGACTAGCTCATCTTTGTTTTACCTTTCTTTTTTCCGCTATCCTCTCCTTCTATGGTATGACCATTTTCCCGGCGCTCTTCATACCACTTAGATAGCAAGACTTGTAACACTTTTACTAACTAGAGTGCGAAACGCTCGTCCAGCATAAAAAGCTGCCTTCGTCACTAATACCATCTACTTCAAGTGACTTCCTACCACGCCAAAGGTTCATACAATAGGGTTGGCAACAGAGGTTACAGCTAATGCTGACATTGACAATTTTTTATGGGTAACAGCACCCAACTTTCTTCACTCAAGTAAATGTACAGTTAGCAAGAAATACTCTTGTATAAGCCTTACTGATGCAAACCATAAAATATATATGAAATATCTCGGCAGAACTAATATCTCGCACTAGACAAAGTTTATTAACTGCAGCTTTATGTGTACTTCAAATGTTGTAAATGAAGTAGACATATAGCTAGCCTTCTTAAATTCCCTTAGGGACCGTTGGATTAGTGGGATTAGGATATTAATCGCGTTATAAAATTTCAGATTAAATTTATCTGGTGTTTGGTTATGAGTATTAGCTAATACCTGAGGGAGCACAAAGTACGGCTATTAAAATTAGAACATATAGATGGCAAAGAGTGCATTACCGGGAGGGGCTCTTCAGATGGATGAGGAAGAGCCAAGGGCTGGACCAATAAAGCCCATGGCATTGCCGAGGTTGTCAAAAAGTCAACAGTGCATGGAATCTGTTACACAAACAGCAAGGACCAAAATTAATTAAAAATGTATGGTTAATAAGCTTTTCTTTCCATAGAAAGATGAAAGAGCATACATGCAGAAACCATAAAGGAAAGAATTATGTTTAGACAAAAGAACAATGCAAAGAAGTTTAGTACCTGATTAAGAGTACACCTCATGAACCGTGGGCTGCAATTTCCAGTGTCCCTAACAATATAGTCACTTGTGGCAGGCTTCAAGTGGGGCATAAAAGTAAATCAGGAAAAAGCAGTAAAACCAAAAAAAAAAATTAGATTAATTTGAACCCTTAGGAGGCAAGCATAACCAGTTGAAGAAAAGATAGTTCATACGTAAATGCAACAGTACAATACAACCAAGCAAGATATTATAGCCAAATGTTTTCTTTCTTTAAAGGAAATGATAGTTTACCGGAGGGGGATTGGCTTGGTTGCCTTGTCGGGTTTCATGCAGAACTATAGAGGCATTTGGAATTGGGCGCGGGATTTGATTGGGATCAACTTTTGATGGACTGGTATGACCAATAGAAGGTGTTATCGAAGCCACTGCCTGATTTGGAAGAGGAGGCGCCATTCCGTACATACTTGGTGGTTGCATCGAACCAGGAATAGCAGAAGGTGGAGGCCCCTGTCAATAAGTAAACTCAGAATATGTACTTCACATGAATGTGGAAATACAATAAAAGCAAACTGAAACCAATCTACTTGATCCAAAATATCCCCAGAATTTTAGAATTTCAATAGAAAACAAAGGAAAAAACACTTCTTATAAAAAAAAAAACTAAAGAAAACACTATATTGGAAAAGTGCCATGTGCTTTAGGGTGTTTTTGAATTAAATGTAAATTTTTTGTGAGGTTGCTATACCTCTTCTTCTAATTACGAAGGGATAGCTAGGTTGTTGTAGCTTCAGTTGTGAAAGACAGTTATCCTTTTCAGATGGTCCAGACAAACTTAAGCAAACTTGTATACTTAAGATTTTATTTTTATTTTTCATAAATACTTATATACTTAATATTAAAATAATGATTATGTAAAATAGTGGCACATTAGATAACAAATTCATAGAAGGATTTCATTATTTACGCTTTGAATTATTTTAGATAAATAAGCAAATGATACTCAAAAGAAATTTTTAATAATTTTCAAGAACGTCTGTATCCCAAGCAAAGTTATAAAAGCTTATAAATAAAAACAAATTCTATTTATGGAGTAAAAATAAATAAACAATAATAAAAAATATTATTTAATAACTTTGAATAATGAAAGAATTCCAAACAACATGTTAAAAGTTAAAAGATAAAGTATCTCACATAGGTAATTTTATTAATAGCAATTACTCAAAGTTTTATATGGGAAAAAAAAGATAAAAAGAAAATTTATAATGCACAAACAACAACAACAACAACAAAAAACCCAGTGTAATCCTACAAGTGGGATCTGGAGATGGTAGTGTGTACGCGGACCTCATCCCTACCTTGAGAAGATAGAGAGGTTATTTACGATTAACCCTCGGCTCAAGGAAAGATGAAAAAAGAAGCAATGGCAACATAATGCACATAATACTAAAATGAGAATTATTTAAAATAGTGGTACATTTTATTACAAATTCATAAAAAGACTTCTCTAATTATCTTTGAATGAACTAGAAATCACAAGTTCCTGGATATTATTGATTCTTTCTATCCTACAGTCATGAAGCATCTCTTTAACGCTAGATTTTGATGATTACTAAAGATCATTAAACGCATATAATTTGATTATTGACACATCTCGTGTGACTTGTTGATCCAAAAACTTCGGTCCAGATAAAGAGATATATATCCTATGACTTCCTTCTTTTGTAGTCTATCATAGGCAAGAACTAAACATATCTCACAGCTTCAAAGATCACATAAAATAAATTATACTCCGGTAATGAGTTTAGTGGAAATTCTTAACACCATGCATCTGAAGAAAACTCTATTATTTTTGTCCCTTCAATAGCATATTCACATGACTCTATCATACCTTTATTTATGGAAAAATACATAAATTTCACCTTTCAAAACAAGTACAGTAAGATACGCATATAAAATCACCTGATGGGGTGGCATTTGCCACGACTGTGTTCCATAAAGGGCACCCATGGGTGGAGGCATGCCTTGACCAGGTGCTGCAAATGGAGAGGAACCCGAAGGAGGTGGCACATTCTGCAATGATCCCGAAAATGGTGTTGGCGGTTGTGTTGTAACTGGTGCTGTGCTGATAGATGATGGACCGCCAAAGGGTGAGCGCATGCTCGGAGGCTGAGAAGGAGTGCCAGATGAAAC